CAGTTAGATCCTAGGAGGAGGCCCAACACACCCAAAATGCCCCAGCTTCCAGCAATGGCACAGCTGGGAGGGAGGAGGGAGGAGCATCTCTCCTCTCCCCATGCCCAACAGCTAAGACATTCTCAAATTCAGATACACCATTTTCAGACCCATCTAGGAAAGCGCTTTGGGCTGTGAGGTCCCGCATAAGGAACTGAAATGCACCCGAGTGAGACCAAACACGGGCTGGATGTCCTGATGGTGCATCACCACCATCTCTGTCCACCGCTGGGCACAGCTGCCTCTGCGTGGACCCACCACGGTGTGCCCGCCACCGCTGGGACCTGGGATCCGGAGGGACTCACGGGGACGGAGGAACTGGAGATGCAGCCCTTTTTACCCATGATTAGAAAGGGCTGGAAAAATGAACCTAATGCCTTAGGTGAGACAAGCCAGCACTTAATTAACGAGTTGCCCCGGTAAGACTCGAACAGCAGTCACCGACCGAGGACAGGGAGCTCACCGCAGGGCCGGGGAAATGTCTGCACTGGGGGAACTGACCTTGTGCAAGCAGCGGTGGCCAACCGGTCTCCCCTGGAGCGCTGCGGGAGGCTGATGAAACCCCCCAAGGCAGGGAGGCGGTAGCTGCTCGCTGGGTAAGTGAGCAAACATTGCACGCTCCGCAGCAGGCCCATGCTCCCTTTGAAGATGCTGCCAGGGTCAAGGGTAGCCGAGGGGTGGTGACCAGAGGGCTTTCAGAGGCAGAGCAGATTACCTGGGCTGCACAGAAGGGCAATTTAGGAAAGCCAATTAATAAATAAAAACGTGCAGAGGCACACGCAAAGAAAACAAAGCTCCCTCCCTGTGCAGCTCAGCTGCAATACCCACCCATGACGCATTTAGGGAAGAGGGGCCTTGGACCGCAGCAGCCAGGAAGGCCTTGTGCAAACCCCCCCTGGTTGCTTGCACCTGCCTCCCCACCCCTTTCTCAGCCACCTTGGTGCCAGTAGGTGTGCCCGACGCCCACCCTGCCACCCCTTGCAGGAAACCATGGCATTGCATCGTCCCTGAGCAGCCCCCTTCCCCGGCTCCCCCCAGGGAGGGCTCTTCGCAGAAGGGGCATCGCCGCTGCCAGCTCCGGGCCGGTCTGGCAGCAACCCCAGTGGGCAGCACTTACCTCTTGCCAGCTCTGCCCTGCATGCGTGCAGACCTTGCACAGAGGCCGAGCGTCTTCAGCGAGCAGGGGCCACCGCCGAGAAGCACGTGCTTGCCTTCAAAAGCGACCAGGGGAAGCTGGAAGATGAGAACATCAGGGGCAGGCGGGATTTGAGACCTAGAAATTGCTTGGCTCAGTTTGCTCTGTACAAGGGTGGAGAATATCCCAGGGAGCGCTCAGCACATGCCTTTCCCTGCAGTTGGAAATCGGTCACAGTGTGCATTGGCAGGGTTGGGTTTTGGTTTTTTTTTTTGGTCTTTTTTTATTAGTGCTGTTTATGCTGCTAAATGCATTGCCAGCTAGGTCAGGGCCGTGTTAGCTGTGGCTGGCAGATTAATTTCAGCCTAATACACTTCACAGCTCCATAAGTGAGAGTGCAGAAATCCTCAAAGCGCTGTCCAAGTGGATTCAATGGTAGGATCCAGGCCCGACATTGTAAATTATACAAGGTAACTGCAAAGCACTGTTGTCTGTTTCCCTTCCTCATGGCTGAATTAGGTCCCTGTCCTGCCACAGCACATGCTTAACCTGGGCTGGTGAAGTCAACAGACCCAGTCACACGTATAAGGTTACACGAGTGATTTCGCTTGAGCTGGAGAAGAGGCACGCAAACGCAGAGCTTGCTGCAGGGGCTGTCAGGTGTAACGGGTCAGAGCCCAGCCTTCGCCGTAAATCCTAAGCGAGGAGACTACAGACAGATGGCAATAAGCTTAAAAATACTTCTAATTAATGTAAGGAAATACCAGAGATGTCCTCGCTGAGCAAACAAGTCTTATGCACCCAGGAGACTGAGCATGAAAGTCACATTAAAAAAAAAATAATCCTAATATATTCAAGAAAGGAATGAATATTTAAAGCTGAACTGCCATACCTGAGACTTCAGACAATTCCAGTTTTAAGGTGCTGTGGGCCCAAAAGGATCAAACCCATTGCTGATGCAGTCTTTGAGGTGTCCTAAACTATTTATATGACAACAGGCTAGGGCTGTACAGGGGCAAAAAAAAGCCCGGTCTTGCCCCAAAAGCTCACTCTGGGCATATGATACTTGTGCTAGAGGGAGAGCAGGTTTGTGCAGCAAGGTGCTTGCACCACTCCCTTGTGCTGGAGTTTCCCACCTGGCAGGGGCTGTAGACCATCACCTGAGACCAACAGCAATGCAGAGGTGTTTGGGGCTGCTGTGGGTCGGTGGGTACTGACCGCAGCTGGGCAGAAACAACACCCACCTCCCGGTGGCACCAAAAGGGGCAGGCTGGGCTGCCTGCGGAGGCTGCAAGCGGCCAGCGACTGCAGGCATTGAGGCTGACCCCGTGGTCAGGCAGCCTTGGACTTCGCTGCTGCAGCGAGCTGTGCCAGTTTACATTGGGCAAGGATAAGAAACCCAGCCCCGTCCCCTCTACCACCCCAGGAGCGTGAGGCTCTGCTGCTGGTGAAGGTGGCCTTAGGTCTGCAGAGGGTGGGCTGCTTCCTGCACCGGGGAATGGAGGACGTGGGTAATTCGGGCTCGGACAGAGAGAGAACAAAGCCGTACTGACGTGTTTGGTGTTGCAACCCTGCCCTTACCTTTGTACAAAGAGTCCAGCCACTCTGGGCTTCTCTCTGAGCCCCCTTCTAAATCTGGGCTGTGCTCATGCATCCATCTATTTTTTTAAGCCTCTTTCTTTAAGCCTTTTGGGTTTTTTTTTTCTTAATAGCCACACAGCTCCTTTTGCAAGGAGCCATTGTGGCAAGACAAACAGGGCAGATGTGCCCATGCATGCACCGAGCAAACCCCAGGAAGCTGCAGCTGGGCTGAGCGGGGGTCCATCCTGCCAGTCCTCCTGGGGAAAGACTCCATGGAAATGGCCCCGTGCATTCCCGCAGTAACTGTGCTGGCCTGTTCCTGCTCACAGCCTTGGTCCTTTCCCAGCAGAAACTGGCACAGTCCTGCTGAGGTCAGCCCAGAGCAGGACAGGCACCAGTGGAGCTACACCAGCCCCTGAGGGGCTCACTGGACATCTGCTCAGTTGCCAACTGGAAAATATATTTTTTTGACACTTGCAACCTTTCCCTGAGGACTTTTGAGTCTTTCATGTGTAAGACAGCCACCATGCCAGCTCATCCCTACCCCCTCTGCTCTCATCTCTTGGGCTCGGCAGCAAAAATCCTTACGAATTTGTGATTGGAGCTACTCCTCCCCAGGGTCTCCTGCAACTCCTTCCTGCAGCTCTGCCTGGCACCACTAGAATAAGCAGATACTTTGCGGCTCATGGCTTCATTGTCACCACGAGGACACGCATCCCATGTGCACCACGAGGACGTGCACGCCACCCACCACTGTGAAGACCAACAGCTTCAGGCATTTGAATTAATGCAGTGTAGCTGGTGCCTTGCAGCGTGGCGGGATGTGACCTCCCCGGAGCATACACGTGTGCACGGACAGTATAGGCGTGATCTCTAGCATGCTTTCATGAGTCTCTGCCATGTCCCTCCTGGCCTGGTACAGCGCCACAGTTATCCTCCTTGCACAGGGCAGCGCAGCAGCAATTCACAAAGAAATGAGCTCACTTGCTTGGGGTGACAGAGCAAGCCAGTCCCGGGACTGTCACCCTGGGGTCCCCAGCACCAGCCGCACAGTTAACTAGGAGTCGTCCCTGTACTATTTGCCGCTGCAGAGTCGCAAGCCCGTTGCTGAGGTGCAGAGCCCTGTTGCTGCTGGGGACAGCTTCGCATTCCTGATTTGACAGCGCCACCTCGTGAGGTGGCCCCGCTCCTGGGGAGCCTGTGGGGGTGCAGGCAGCCGTCCTGCCCCACCGCTGCCTGCACCCGCTCGGGCCCGCACCC